GCATAAATACTACCAATGCCCACAGGAGTTACTGGAGCTTTCTTCTGTCCCACATACCATACCTGAATCTAGCTCAGGGGTAGGCAATGTTGTGCCCTCCATATATTAATTGTTGGACTACAACTCCCATCATCCTGCCCCCTGGCTATGCTGCCTGGGGTGGCTCTCCCCTTTTGCATGTACAAACAATAAGTTTGCAGCCTTAGCCACAGAGCGCATAAAGCAGCTTGCAGACAGCTGCTTCATTAAAAATGGCTATGCCCATTTCACAGATGCATACAAGGATCACCAAATGAAAAAGCTACAACCTAGATGGCTTGCAGTTAACCTTTTTCAGCTCATTCTAATAATTCCCTGCTAGATTCACTGAGGAAACACAGAGTAGGAATAAAAATAAATGTACTCTGGCAGCTGCCTCAGCTGCCACTGTGGTGCCTTGTGACACATAATTAGAAAATAAATGGCAGATTAGCTTAATAATATTCATTAGTATCTAATGAAACTGAGAGTGTTTCCTGTTCAAAGCATGTTGAGCTGTTAGTTGAATTTAAGCAAATTCTATATTTTTCCCCTTCGACAAATTGAGGTGGGGTGGGGGTGGGGGGTTAACAACTATTAACCCTTTCCCTGAAGGCTGCCTTTGACACACATGCTTGTCCAAAAGCGGCAAGGGAAGTGAATGGTTAACAGAAATGCAATACTTCCTTTCAGACATTGTTGTTCTTTTGCTTAGCCCCCCTCCAGTCTAAGAATTTAATGATATGCAGAAATTATAGCTGTCTTGCTGACCTCCCTTGACAGTTCTTAAATTATTCAGCTATCAAGGGCCTGCTAAACATTAAATTAAGCATCCTCTCTCCCCTGTCCTAAACCATTAAGTTATGCAAATGCACAGATAATGGGGCATATGACAGCTGGAGGCATTAATCAAGCCGCTCTGTCTCGGGGCTGTTGTTATGTAGAAACTGCATCTGCCAACAGACAGAACAGACACAATTAGATCCCACTCAGTGGGATGAGAAGGAACTACCTCGCTCTCTACGTTCATGTAAGGTTGTCAACCTGGGATTGAATAAGACACTTGGGAAATCTCTCTCCGTTTCATTCTGTCTAGTTTTAACTCCCCACCTTCCCACAAGTTAGTTTCTCTCTCTCCCTCTTTCCCTCTGTCTCTCTCTCTCCTCCTAATACCTGCTCCCTCATCAAAATGAAAAATTACCTATAATTGTTATCATTTGCAAACAAAGCCTGTCATAAGTTCCACCTGCTGTTTACAATGGAGGGGTTTTTTCGTTGTTGTTTTTTTCTCTTGTGCATAATTCAGGTTCTTGGGGGGATTTTATATATTTGTTGTTGTTGTTTTTTATTTAACTAACGTCTCAGGGCAAAGGAGGGAGGGAAGCAAACAGAATCCTATCTCACGTTGGTCCTTCCAGCGTGTGAATTACTTATTTTTAAAAAGAAGTCTACTCCATCATCCTCCCAGAATTTAGTGCTGAAGCACAAGACAGTTGTTTGTGCCTATTTATTTCTCACCAATAAAGGGCTAATTATTTGTAACTTAAATGTTGGCAAACATTTTACGCAATTATTTTCCCTCGGTCCTTATAATGTAGTTCCAGGAAAGTGATGGCAAGAGGCAATACCCTGTTTTGCCTGTCTCTGAAAATAGCTGACCATCTGAACTCTAGACAGAACATGGAAGGCGGTGTGGAGGAATCCCCAGGGTCCTCCTTGGAGACAGTTTGGGTAGAGACTGTGCCTAAAGGAATCTTGGCACAAGAAGACCCAGAATTAGTTTAGTTCCATCATGGGATGGAGAACCTTTTTCAGCCAAAAGGCCACATTGCCTTGCCTTCTGGACAGCCTTCTGGAAGCCTCGTGCCAATGTTTCTGTTTTTTAAATTGCTTTTATTTTTTAGCTATGTCATTTTAAATTGTGATTGATATTAATGCTGTATTCTTAGTTTTAGATTTTATGATTTATGTGGAAATTGTTTTCTATTTGGTTGTGTTTTATTTATTGCTTATGACTTTTGTTATGTTGGTAATTACCGGTATGTAAATCTTGTCATGTTGTAAGCCGCCTTGAGCATTGTTTTAACTATGGAAAGGCGCCATACAAATAAAATGATGATGATGAGGATGAGGATGAGGGGCAGAAGCAAAAGTGGGCAGAGCAATTGATGCCGTTTTTACCTTTGAACAGTAGGCTAGTTTCTACGCACACCGCTCCCTATCACCCACCCAGGCAATCAAAAGGTTCAAGGCACATGGACACATGGGAGGCATGGAGTGAGGAGCTGCTTCTCCATTCCTAATATGTTGGAGCAATACGAGCGAAACAAAAACCAGTTCATCAACCCTGTTTTTAAAAAGAAAAGAAACAAAATACTCTTGAGCATGTGTAGTTTTTTTCCTTCAGAACTCACGTAAGTCATAGCATCATCAGGACTACAGGAAAACAATGGAGTTTGCTTCTGCTACCAAACACATTTATTTGGAAATAAGCACCATTTTGTAGCAGAAAAAAGGATAATATATTTTAAAAGTCAAAATAATAATTAAAAGAGCACCTGTAACCTTGCCCCCCCCCACAAGAAAATGCTACTGAAAATAAGAAAAAAAAATGAATGCTGTGAGGACCGATGGGTTCGAGCGTCCACATGGTGGTCTGGTGCTGACTCTGGGACTCTTTGCCACTGAACTCCATCACTGCCCATACTAGACAAATTGAGGTATCAATTATATTGGCCAGTGCTGTAGTCATTGGCACCATCTGCTGCATGAGCACCAAATATCAGAGCAAGTTTGAAAGTGTATGAATTGACTTAAATGGCAGTTTAATGGTGGTGGGACAGTTTGGATTGGCGCCCCCAGGAAACTAATGGAATTGGATTGGTTTTTTAAAGCTGCAGAGTAACGTTTAATAAATGCTGAGCAGAGGACCACTCTGTCCACATTCAGGTGGATCTCAGGGTCAAAACCCACCCAACCCTCTGGCCATGCTGTAGCCTTTCGGTTGGACTGACGCCACCACCAGGAACTACCTGTAAGGTGAGTAAAGGTGGCTCAGTGTCAGAGAGGGTTGCAAGAGAGGGAAGAGAGGACTTCCTCCTCTGAGGGGAAAGGGCCAGAGAAGGTGCTGAATCAGTTTGGGAGACATGGGAAAAGGGGAAAATATAGATTTAAAAGCCCTCTGAACTTGGAACTTGTGGATCAGAAAACCCTCCCTAAAATATGATCCATTTCCAAATATTTCCCAAGCTAACGTTTGTATGTAACTTAAGTAAAGATGAACTACGAAACTCCTTATGTGAAGGAAAATGGGGTGGCAATGAATTTCAAAAGAGGGATTAGATATCAATAGAAAATTGTGTCAGCAATTGCCAGCTGATTGTGTCAAACTCACTCTCCATCTGCCACCATTTTGTTACTTAATCTTGCCCTGCAGCACCATTTTGCAACTGGTGGGCTTTAGTAATTTCAGCCTGCTCAGGTCGGCTCTGGGGATAAGGAAGGCCAGCATCCGAAAAAGACAAAGGAGATTATGAATGTTGGAATACTCATGGCTCAGATTTCATATGGGTCATACAAAAATTTGTAATATCTACACTCAGTCGAAATTATGCAAAGTTGTGTAAATGTATTTAATTAGCATAATTTATTTTGCTAATAACATTTTCATCATTAATTGGGCTACTAATGACGGAGAACGTTGCAGCTGAGGCAGTTTTAGGCTGCAGGGGGTGCCACAACAATGCACAGAACATAGCATGGGAGTGTGTCCCGCCTTTTAGCGTCACACAGGGCGCTGTTAAAGTTTGAGAGGCCTGTCTGCCATGGATTACAGGTGTGGAGGACAGCAGCAAAATAGTGAGGTGTTTAGATAAAATGTTTATTTGCAAGGTGCATGAAGGTGTGCACTTCATAATATCATTGATTTAAATGGGAGATCTAAGCCAGATGTTAAGTGACTTGGTGGCCATCACCATGCATGCCGGATATTGCCACAACTAAAGACCAGTTGGAGAATCTGGTCAGCTACTGTGTAAAAATGTACAGAATGTACAACTATTCTGCCTCAGAGGATCCATTAAAACTATGGATTCCTTTAGAGGTCCTACTATCAAAATAATTTTTTATCACAATTACAAAAGTACATCCTCATCAAAAAACAGAAGAGATTCTGTTTTGTCCTGGAGAAGAGTGTAATTTTCTGAACAGCTCTCAGATTGTGGCCAGGTATCTAATCTAAGGTTATGCAACTTTATTTTGTTGATATGAAGTAGCAAATCATTCACAGACCAAAGGCAATAAATCTTAACTGTGGGAAGGAATTTTCTTCTCTTAAAGCAGAACTTGTAGCATAGAGCACGAAAACTACAATATGCCCTGCAAGCATCAAGATCTGGCACCAATATAGAGTGTAGGTCCGTTCATTGGCTGTGCCTCAAATAAACCATAACTGATTTATAAATGTGTAGCTGAAGTCATCTGAAATGGCAACTGCCCAGAAAGGGGCTTGCTGCTCATACTTTATCAAATGTACCATGCATACATCCCGTACGTCTTTTAGAAGATGTTTGGAAACCGAGATTCCGACTCTTGTTTAACTAATAATCTGGGAATACTTTATGCTCCGTGGAGGCTGAACTAGATGGGCATTTGCCCTTTTCCTAACTCTGTAGGTCTCCCTGTCAGAGGCTAATTCATGCTTTCTGACTCCTGGAAGAATAGTGAGACAACATAGAAAGCAGCAGTTTGGTAAGGGTACTAGGACTATAAAGTTGCTGAGTATTCTCTCTCCAGTGAACAATGTTAATAATACCAAATACAATTAAACACATGCAGGTTTTTAATGACAATTTCAACTTCTTCCATGAAGAACAAATAAGGATAAAGGAAGTTGTCTTGCAGTTAGAATGCTGGTCCCTCTAGCACAGTACTATCTACAATGACTGGCAGAGATTTCAGATAGGGGTCTATCTCAGTGCTACTGGGAGATGCCAAGGCTTGAACCTGGAACCTTCCACATGCAAGGATGATGCTGTACAACTGAGCCACAGTCCCTTTCTATTATAATTAGCCTATTTACAATTAACTTCTTTCTAATTCGTGCCCAGTTCTATGATACTATCTACCGTGTAAAGGACTGGCTCAGGATGTTTTGCCACATCAGGAAAAAAGAGAAAATGTTGCCCCCTTTGCTGCTGTCAACTCCTCATCTGCACAAACCACCCTGCATGCCTCCTCTGCCTCCACCACCTGCCTCCATCACCACCATCAGGCAGTGGGCATGCAGACGTGGAGAACGCCGTGTCTGGCTGGTGGTGGCAAAGGGGGCAGCAGCCGTGAACAGTAAGAGAGAAGGCTGACTCTGCTGCCTGAGGCAACCACCTCCCCTCGGCTCATGGGCAACCACGCCTTTTAACTCTTGTAATCTCTACTGGTTTCCTTACCTGTGTGGTAATTTCAGACATTCATTTTATCATGAACACTTGTATTCTAGAAGATGGTCTTTATCAAGTTTAACACATTTTACTTTTGCAAAATGGGTTGATAAATGCCTCCAAAGGATCCCAGCTGTATCAGTAATTATTGCTCTCTTATTGTTCTTGAAGGAAAACATATGCTTTTGCCGGTTGTCTTCCCATCACCATCTTATAGTTGCCATAACTCTTGGAAATATATTATGTCTCTATTTATTGTTATGTTTTATTCTTTCCTTAAGTTATTCATCTCACAGCTTTACAAATCTCTGTCTAATATCTTGTTGTTGGTTCTACCCATCTGCTGTTCTTATGTTCAGATGTGTTTTTGTAGATGTGTTAAGTGCTGTGTGCTAGGCATGCTACTAAATCATAGTAATCCCATTGAAGACAATAAAAAAAATCCGTGGGAATTACTTCCAAGCAATGTATTTAGGATCAAGGCAGCAGCCACATAGAATAAAAGACAGAATAAGAAAAGTTTGCTTCCACCACCACCACCACCATTTTAATAAATAAAATGGAATGAATGAGTGAGTGAGTTCTTGAAGACACATAGTCCTGAAAGCTCTGCAGTTTTGGTAACCGCACAGGTTTTGTGTATCTTTAGCTCTTCACAGCAGTAGAGGCTGGTTTCATGGCTTTTTAAAGATGACGATAGTTTGGCAGGATTTTCATTAGGAAGTCCAGCGGCAATGTTTGTGGCTGTGGCTGTGGCTGCTCAGTCTGCATTCACCAAAGACAGTCGGCTCAGTAGATTATTGTGTTCTCAGGATGACTTCGTAGGACTTCGCAGCAGCCTCCAATGATGCTGTCACATGTCAAGATCACATTCCTACCAATTAATTAAAAGAATTTAAGGATTTATCAGGAAAATTAACAACATGGATACAATATCATCATTTGAACAAAGTGTTTAAGAAAGATAGGATACGAGAGTTTGGGGAACAAACATCACAGTTGGAGAGAGATCTGTTGGAATGTAATGTTTAAGTGCTGACTAAAATGTATAAGATACTATTGGGATGGGAGACAAAGGATGAGCAAGTAAAATCCTCAAGGATACAATGGACAATACATATTGTTTATACAGTAATATAGATATGGAAGCGTGGGAACGATTGTGGAATATGGATATAAAATTCAGATCATGCTATGGTTTAAGACAGGGGTCAGCAAACTTTTTCAGGAGGGGGCCGGTCCACTGTCCCTCAGACCTTGTGGAGGGCCGGACCCCCCCCTCCCGAAAGGACCCCCCCCCACCGCCGCCGCCACTCATGCTGCAGCCGCCAACCCTGAAGGAAGGGGCGTTGCCCAGAGGCATCCACAGCTTTGGATTGGCTGCAGGGGCTTCCTGTGACCAATCCGAAGCCGCGCCAGCATCACCATCCACCCAGAGGCGTCCACGGCTTCAGATTGGCTTCAGGAGCTTCCTGCAGCCAATCTGAAGCTGTGCCAGCGTAACGAAAATCAGTCCCTGTGCGGCGAGGCCTCCATGCCACACCAGTTTAGCGTGGGGACTGAGTGGGCGGCAGGGTCTGCAGGGTCCACGGGCCGGATTTACAAGCCCAGTGGGCCGTAATTTGCCGACCCCTGGTATAAGAGAAAATTATATGAAAATGTTATATCAATGGTATAACACCGAGTAATTTGGCAAAAATGTATAAATCAAAATCAACTAAGTATTGGAAATGTAAAGAAAAGTAAGGTTCTTTTTCTTATATGTCTAAGTTAAAGCTTACTGGGAAATGATATATAATGAACTGAAAAAGTTGTTTAAAATAATGTTTGTAAAAAAAACCAACCCAAAAATAAACCCTAGAAGCTTTCCTTATAGCTTGGGTAGCTTATAACTACCCAAACTGTATAGAAATTTATTCATACAGCGACAAGAATATTTGCCCAAAAGTGGAAAGAATAAGTCGTCCCAACGAAAGAATAATGGATACAAAAACTTGTGGAATATGCAGGAATGGCGAAACTTACTGGAAAAATAAGAAATCAAGATAGCAGACTTTTTAATAAAAGAATGGAAATGGTTTATTGAATATTTACAATATTGAATATTTACAAACAAACTAAACAGATAAGAACATTGGCAAGATTATTGTAATAACCTGCAGTTTTATAAGAGTATACATTTAAAGTAGACAAATAAATGATTAAGTTAAGTTAATTTGGAATATACAGAAAATATGAAAAACAAATGTAAGGAAGCGCAGAAAGAGGAGGCAGGAAGTCAAGTTTCGAAATGTTAAAATGATTGTAAAATTATTGAAATGTATAAAATTAAAAATCATAAATAATAATTATATATATATAAAAGATCACGTTCCTACCTACAAATGCTTTGAAGTCAATTACATTGTAGTCTCCCATTTTCATTGCCTGAAAATACAGCCAACTTCAAAGATGTTGTTGGTGCCAATGATCATTGGTTTGGCTCCCACCTGCTCTGCATCAGGGGTAATGTTTTCAGGATAGCCATTTATGATAATTGTCTTTTCTTCTATGATGTTACATTCCCCAGTTATTGGCGCAGCTTCTGCAATGATCCACGCTTTGGGGTGAATCACTGTCTAGGCCCAGTTGTCACCTCACCCTTGATTTAACTCTGCACACCGACAACAGCTCCACTATTCTGTGCCTTCTCCGCCATCTTGTCCAGCCTCTCATCCATTGTTCCAAAAGTTTGCTTTTGGGGTATCTGCATGTTATTTAAATGTGGTACAAATATTACAACGTTATAAGATTTTTCTTTAGGAAATCTTTGAAAAATAGGATCTTTAGATTGTTAATCATCTGAGGTTAAGGAATATTTGGCCACTTGGGCTTTTGATTCAATAGCATTTTAATTCAACGAAACCCAGAAGTGGTAGCAACCACATCTGATTTCATAGCTTTTAAAACTGAAATGACAAAAGAAATTAATAAAACAGTGTATCTCTGAACTCTAGTTCTAATCTGCTTTGCAGATTAGCATCCTAAAGGATAGAATTAATGGCTTTTTTAAAAAATGCCATTTTCTATTTTAAAGATTAGCACAAGGAAGAGGCAATGCAGTTTTCAGTAACCCAACAACTTTCCTTTCTTTTCCTTTTGTATTTTACTCCAAGATACATTATCAGATGCCCAGGATAGCTAGAATACAGCTATTTCAGATGACAGCTCTCCGTCCCTGCCCATAAGGAGCTCCACAAACACATCAAATGCAGAAACTCCAACCACTTTGCACAAGCAAGAGCCTTTAATTTCTGAATCACTACTTGTACACATGCTCCAGTTGGACTTGAATAGGAGCAGCATTTGATAAATTACATCCTTTTCAGTGGGCCCCTCTCTTTCTTTGGAATTCATACATCTTTCTGAAGTTGTTTCATGGCGCATCCTTCTGAAGTACTGTAGCTTTTGTGGTTTTTAGTCAATGAATAATGGCACAGCACTCTCCACTTTCAGCCTTGAAGTGAACTCTCTACTTGGCCTTAATAAATGCTCAAAGTAACACCAAACTGCCAGTAATAACAGATTTGGTTCTATATGTGTAATATTTTCCAGCACCAATTTCTAGTGTTTTTCTTCCTATTGTTTTACAACCCCGCTAATTTTAACGCTTTTTTCACCCCTCATTTTCAAGCCATTGTTCCCTAATCACAGCAAGATCCCCAAGATAATTATAGATACGATCACTTTTGTGTGGTCAGAAGTTGAACTCTAAACCCTCAGGCCCCAATAAACCCCCGAGGTATGCTGAAATTCATAATAACCCTTGGTTCATTTTGCCATATTACTTAATTAATCCAGCTGCTCCAGACTTGCATTACTAGATATTAAAACAACTTGTCAATCTGTAATTGCAGATCTCCTTCCTCCCCCTTTTTATCTAATTCAGTTGTGTTATATTAAGTCAGCCTCTTCCCTGCACTCAGTCTCTTTGTTTCATTAACTTCTAATAGAAATGCATTTGATAAAATGACTTGGAGTGGAACTGCAATCTGGCCGGCATGGACGGTGAGGTCCGTATTTATGAAACCTTATATATACTTGGGAACTGCACTAAAACATTATTGCAAAATACAGTAGAATATTATACAAGAAGAAATGGGAAATAATGTCATTCCATCCCCCTCCCAAAAGAGATATGCACTGATGAAACTTTGTATTCTTCCTTTTATATATTTTGCTTTTACATAAATGTATGGCTTTTGTGACATACAGAATTGCCCACTGTGTCAGTTCAAGCATCTTTTACAGTTTTTCAATGGACACTGAACACCCATCTCAGAAGGGTTCCCTTGCCATGCATATGCAAATTCAGTGTAAAATGAATGGAGAAGATGGTATATTCACATCTCTGTCCAAAAGAGGACATGAACATTTAAACATTGGTGACTGGCTTACGCCTAAGATAACACATTCATCTGATTGGTTCACACATCCTTATGCATCACCTGATTCCTTTCACCACTTGATCAATTGCAGCTAAACTTATTTGAAAAATGTTACTGCAGTCATATTATCTGTGGTGTTTAATCTGTGAAGGCTTATTCATGTATGCGGGTCACCACTTGATGCCGTAGTGAT